CTGTGGGATCAAAGCCGCCTGATCCGAAAGCCTTGTGAAAACAGAATGGGGCTCAATTCAATCCAGGTATTTCTGTGTGTAAAAACCACACGTCTCTGCAGTAATAGCGATTAAAGAGAGCTGGGGCCTGTCTCTTGGCCCGGGTTGGACATCCTCTGCTCAGAGCCGGTCATGTGGTCATGATGTTCGTCAGTGGGACCCTGATCGCCACAGAGGTGTCTGCTGGGACCTCCTGGGGCTTATGATTGGGGAGGCTGACAGAGCTTCAGTTCTCTGAAAAGACAGCTCATGGAGAACGAATTGGAGACCCTCTGCTAGAAACACAGCGTTGCAAAAAGGATCCCAGAGGAAAGTGAAAAAACAGACCCATTTCTAAATTGGCCGAGAGGACATTTTACTTTAGACCTAACCGAGGCCTCCACAGATTAGACAAGGGAGGGGCCGATGATCTCTTCAGCTGTAGACATTGAATTATATTTGGCGTTTCTTGATGCATCATACGATGCATCACTTCTGTATTTTTCTGGAAGAATGTAAAGTTTCCATTGTGAGTTATCAAAGAGGTGTACTAGTGATGAGCCTGAACAGCTGGTAGTGGGGATGTCCTGAAAATTGAATGATTGATTGCCCTTATTTAGTCATAAATTCCATTCCTTCCTGGGAATTCCCCTCTGCCTCATCTGGCCCCAGGTACGAACCTTCACAAAGCCCGCTCTCCATGTCTGAGGTGTTGCAGACAAGCATGCAAGTTAAAGGTTACTGCGTGAGCCCTACTTCCTGTACAGTACGGTATTACTGTACTGTATGTGCCACAGATGCACCTGAAGCACGCAGGCAATTGTTAATTAGCACAGGGGCCAAAAAAGAATTGTATGCAAACGTATTAAAATTCACACCTCAATGGCTTTGAGGACAAAAAAGTGCATGCATTGGCATTTCCCTTCCTATTGATTAACTGAGAGTGGTATTTTTTTCTGCAACACTATACATCATACTTAAATTGCGGTTTTATGGCATACGAGTACATAGCATTGATAAATCACCGTAGTAGGTTACCATATAGAGCACCGAATATAAATAGTGTGTTGCTTTGGCTGCCTTGCTAAGGTAACACTTCATTTCTCACTTACTTAAGAGAGAGGTCTTACATTAGAAGGCAATTCTCACTTTAGAAGCTCACGGCTAGGTTTCTGCTTCAAATAAGGAACGGGTGAGCTTTTTCCGGTGCCTGGCGCAGGCATGACTTTTTATAGACTTCAGCTTATTTCCATTTCATTGTGTCGCCTCGTCGGTAATGCTTCGTTTTTGTGGAGGACAAATAATATCCAAGCAACGTGTGTGAAGGGAGAAGTTGCAATGTGGCATTATTACTGCTGTTATGTCATGAGATTTAATGATAATTAGCATCGGGAAATATTTACACAGAAAGGTGTACAGGAGTGTTTTTTTTAACTAATTTTTCACAATAGAGGGTGGAGATATCTTAAACATATGTAAAACCCTGTGAGCCTGTAAGTAATGTTTTTAATCGTTTTCACAGTTTAAAG